ATTTATAACGAGTACCTGGAATGTTAGTTTGCTAGACGATGCTTTTGCTGGTGGAGGAATCCATGTAGGAGCAGCTGGTTTTATATTTCTTTTCGTTTCTTTCCTTAATACCTACAAGTTTAAATTGTAATAACGTCTTATTAGCAATATTTTGCATGTGATATAGTACTATTTATTTATAGCTTGTTGAGCAATTTAATTTTAATGTATGTCATTTTTGTACTATTTCATGATGATATAAAATTTCAAATAAGTTATGGATACAGTTACTTCGATATGATGAGAAGTAGTAGTTACTGAAATCATACATAATTAATCTACCTGCTGGCGTTTTTTGCCTTTGTTAACATGAACATGAACTGGAGTATCTTTTTCAACATGAACATGCAGTGGAGATTTCGATCGACCGTTATCGATGGCCATTTTGTCCTAAATTTCAATGTAATTCATAATAATTATTTCCCAATAAAGATTCTAATAAATTAAGTTTGTTGTACGATCTCAATAAAAGTCTAAACGATGCATTAAAATGAAAGCTCTATATTTAAAATATTAATATCGAAAGGTGAGAAGAGGCTTTAAATAAGAGACATCCAATATAAATGTCAGCGAAATTTTCCAATATAATACAAATTGAACATCATTTACTATAATTAAACTTGCTCTTACTAGGGATAAGAAATAAATATCATTTTATTGAAGTATTTTGTATGCTGTAAATTCTACTCTTGTTTAACTTTACTTGCTAATATTTTAGTATTTTGTGAGTAGGCATTGGAAGAAACTGCAAATAAAACTTCTATACGATGCTGTACACGATCATGGAATTGCAATACTTTTATTTCAACCATTTTACAGCTATTACAAAGTTCTAGATCGATATATTATGTCGAAAATGTGGTTAGGACTCTCGTAGATTTAGATTATTTATACAGTATATGTGAAATAATATAATCAATTTGTATAAGTTCATAACTATACGATAAATTTGGCTTGATTTCAATTATTATAACTGGAAATCATATTCGTATATTGTCTACTCGTTCCAACCATGGTTGCTCAAGCATTACAACAGTCTATTGTTGACAATATTAACCCTCTTTGTTCCTTATTGATTTCTTAGTTATTTACCTGACTTAGTTACTACTCTTAAAAAATTATAATAATTTGACGATATATTTTTTTGCATGTTAATATTCCTAGTGGCAATATTTAGCTTACTTTCAATTTGAGTTTGGCTGTCCAATGATAATATTAATCGGTTGTTAGCAGACGTCGATTACTTCTCCAATGTCAATTTCTTTTAATGTTACTGACAGTAATAAAAGTAACACCCTGTCGTCTTGATAATACTATTTTTCTTGATTTAGAACTCAAGCTAAATAAGTGACAGAATACAAGGCAAAATCACTACATGAATAATTCTATTAATCGATTAGTATGGAATAATCTTGGCTAGCGATGATTGCTATCTGGGCATTATCTTGTCTCCGTTACCTAAGTAACTGACGCATATCTCTGCTATTTGATTGGATAGGTTGGCGTTGGAAGGACAGCAAGTCCAATCCTGGCAGCAATAGTTTTCTCCACTTTCTGCTCATGCGTAGCAATGGCCATCTTCAGTAGAATAAATAATAAATAAGGGTAAATAATAATAATCCGTTACTGACATTGATATTATGATCAAGGCTGAAAAGCTACTGATTGTATTTGGTTTTAAACTACTCCTAAATAATATTAACAGAAACTACTGGTATTCTACGGTAGCTACGGTAATTATAGCAAGTATATGTCGAGCATCGTACCTATAGATAGGCTCGAATTTTCTGGATATCTCATTTATTATATAAACGAATATTTCTCGTTGTGATATATACTGATCACGAAATTCCAAATTTTAGAAAAATAAGGGCTTTATACTAAGTTACATTACACTCGTATGTCTCGAATTTGTAAATAAGGGTATACGTTGTATGACGTACTGTATAAACGGGTATAGATACAAAAACGCTTTATATTTATATTCTTAGATAGCTTTCAAGTTAACCCTTTGGCGTTACAATATTACAATAAATTACACTAAAGTACAAGTGGACATATATCAATTCTATAATAATATTTGCATAACTTATAACTAACGATATGCATGTTGTATAGGCGGTAGAACCTATAGATATACTCAGATTTTCTAGGTGTCTCATTAATTATAATCATATGTCTCTAATTTGTAAATAAAGTAATATAAAATATATATGCGCACAGATACAATAGTGTCTTGCACAGTATTTATATTCTTAGGTAGCTTTCAAGTTAACTCTTTGCCATTAAAATATTACAATAAATTACACTAAAGTACGAGTATAGGTATATTAATTTATTATTAATTATAAATTAATGTAATTACTGCATACTAGTAATCTATAACTAATGATATTTTAAATAGATAATAGCATCTCGTATTTATTCTCTGCAGTAGATGTCAAGTAACCCTCTAACATTTAAACATTATAATAAATTGGTATAGGGTACTGTGCTAATCTTTACCTGTTTAATAATAATTATTGTATAACATAGAACTCGATATTCCATTCATTTGGGCTGAGTAAATAGTTAATTACGGCACAGGTCTATGATATTGTACTCGTAACTGCAAGCTTTCCAATTGAATCAACATATATTTATATGTATTACAAGCTTTGGTTTAGCACTGCAGATGTAGATACAGTATGGAATTTTGTGAAGTACAATTTAGTAGGAATTTGTTACTATAATACTGAAAAATCGGAGGATTACTTTGAATGCTATTTGCAAGTGCAAATGTGAAATGTCAATGTTGGCAATGTATCATTATTTATGGGTCTATAGCTCTAATTAACTATTTAAAAATTCGCAAAGTCAAACTGGTATCATGAGCTAATCTGCTACTCAGGCTTTGTAGAAGCTAGTAAGAATATTTCGAATATCGAATGACTAAAAATTGGCGATGGAATTTGCTCGAAATAACATTATTCATAACAATATCAGTTAGTTCCTGAATCCGGCTGCACGTCTTTATTTGGTGAAACTTTATTAATTTAAAGTTAAAGAGATTGTGATTCGATGTGCATCATTACATTTTCGCAACCAAATCATAAAACCAACTATGGATTCTATCTTATTATACGTGTAACATAACCAAATTTAATTTGGGAACACACATTCATTGATTAAATGTGATAATATACACTAATATGACAACATGTGATTTATAAATAAATTTTGCATGCTCAAATTTAGTTAGATGTAGCCTCACTGCAATGGGGAGATTGTGATAGAAATTATGCGAATTTTATTACGCCAATCTTGTAATTCTTTCATATTAATAGTGTAAAAATTAAATACAAGTATCTGGAACTTAATAATTTGAAGAAGATTAAGATCATCAACGCCTGAGTTTCGCAATAACTTAAATTGGGAAGATCGAAGTAGGAACGGATTATAAAATCGACAAGCTAAATACTAGATAGAATTTACGCATACTTTATGAGTCATCGTACTAGCCGATAGCGATTCATATTCAACTGGTAGAGTTGCTGCTTTGATACAAATCACGATACAACATAATTGATTAACTATGGTATAGCCTCGAATTAAAATTGTATCATTACGTTATTTACGTCAGTAGATCAGAACTCTGGGATTTCATGGTTAATGAGGAAATAGTTAGCGCCAACTATGGTGATACCTGTAATAATTAGGAATAATCTTTATTTAACATGTTGATACCAAGAGCTAATGTCGTTCGCCAGAGCCTTTTTTTTTTGGAAAACGTCTTGAAGAAATTGCGACCATTCATATTTTGTTAATGGCTTAAAAAATGGATCTTCCGCTTGATTGACAGTATCTGGTAACTTTCTCTCTTCATCTATGGACTGTATATTGGTTGTATTGTTACCTGAATCAGTGCCACTGCCTTGACTAGTAGGAGGAGTATGATATTCATATTTATCTCGATCTGTCTCAAAGGAATTCATTATTTCATCGTCACTTTTATTATCCTTATTTTTATTTTTCTGCGGTGGCTTGTTGACACCCTCAGCAACAGTTAATTCATCAATATGTACGGGTGCGATTCCATCACTAGCCCCGCCATTAGAGATTACGCTATCGTCGAATTCTTGACACGTCGATTTCTGCGATGGTGATTGAGATATCGGATCGACACGATGACTCTCTTTCTTCGGCATTAATCCTTCCGAAGTATCATTATTTGAAGAAGTCTTGCTACTATCCAGTAGTATAAGTGTTCGCCCTATTCCACTAACGTTTTCATCGCCATCATAATTATCGAAATGATCTATATTACTACAATGACTCTTTTGCGATGATTGAGTAATATTTACATCTGTTTTATCGTCACCTTGAGGTGCATCGTCGATATTTATATCTGTTTCCGTGTCAGTAAATAATACTGTTGTTACATTATGAGGGCAAGGAACAGAAGCTAATTCGATACTTTCTTGACTATTTATAATGCTAGGTTTAGATTGATCGGTAATATTATTAACATTTCTATCCGGTGTGACTGCAGCTGAGCTTTTCGTCTTAACAGAAGCTTCATCTAGCAGTGCATAGTTGAGGAGGATATCATCTTCGTTCTTCGTTTTTGTAGTCTCGTCTATTTGTTTGTCTACCTCAGTCTTTTGACCATTTGTTTCATCTGTTGATGATGTAACATTGCCACTACAACCATCATCTTGTGTCTCTTGTTGATACTCAATCCTGCCATGTTTGGCTCTTTTTTTAATATTGCTTTTGCTATATTTCCTTTTCAATGTGTTACGATTGTCGTTGGAATTTCTTAAATCTTGCACGAGTTGACCGGCTTGATTATAGCCATACATAAATTGTGCAACACTAACAGGTACAGTAAAAGCTCGAGGCTGAGCTTGATCACAAAATTCCTTGAAACATGTCATATCATTCCAACTTTCACCTAGTGCAGTATCAGCAATATGATGAATAATGGGTGTAATACGACATGGCTTTACAACACTAACAAATTGTCTTAATTCATTATAGTTGGAATGATCTGAATAATGGACGACATAGATGCGTTTATCAAGAATAGGAGGTCGATCTTGATAAATATATAATGCTGTTGGTATAATCGCTATAGTTGGACCAGATTGTTGATTCCATCTTTCAATAGTAGAATCAGTAATTTCATTTTTATACTTGACTATAATTCTGCCCATATCCATTTGATCGGTGAAAACGTTTAAACAGCCTAATAAATTTAACCGTTGCATTCGTTTAGAATCAACAACAATCATGGTTTGCAATTTCACAGCTAATTGCTCTAATAATTTTTCTTTACCAAGATGTGTGAGACCGATAATAACGTTCGAAGTAGGATTTTGTTGGATAATATTCAAGATGATTTGAAAAGCATCATGACGTGTAGGAAATTGTGCTTTAGGATTGCAATAAGTATTATCTAAGAATAATTGATCGACCTGTTTAGATTGCGGAAAGCCAGGTTGTAAATGTAATTGGTCATCATAGCGAAAATCACCAGTATACAAGATACAGCCAAAATAGCCTTCAAAGAGAAACATGACTGCACCCGGGCAATGATTTGCATCTAAAAGAGTAACCGACATGGTTTCACAACCCATCTCATCGACAGGTATAACATGAGGTTGGCCAGTTTGTAGTGATACGACTAGGTCAGATCGGATTGACATTTCATGAATTAATAACGAAGCAGTGATTTCAGAGCAATAGATTTTCAACGACCATGATGAATTAAGCCCTTCCATATGATCTGCATGATAATGTGAGAGGAAAAAGAGCTTGCTTTGGTTGCATTGGCGTTCCCGCCAATAATCAATGGCGATAGGAGTGTCTGGGATTAGGACGCCGTTTCCAATCATCTTTAGCAGATAGAAGCGACTATTTACATGTAGAATCGATAACTATGATGATAAAGAATCCATAGAATAGATTGGTTTGCTTTGCAAGATGTTGGATGTTGCAGCAGCTGGATCGACCTCAAAGCTCTACCTACCTTGCTGTCTGCAACTACTGTCAATGACGTTCCTCGCAGTCAAAGTACGCAAAAATGTCCCAACTCTCATACTGTAGTTGTTAGCTTCTACCGTTCCCCTGGCTATGACCAAATCTCCAATCTCGCCAATTTACTAGTACAGTATAGCGAATGCTACTGCTCCATTCTGACTATAAAATAATAAGGAAATGATATAATACTTAAAGGAAAGAATTCAACTGCTTGCTATTTCGTTGATGCAGAAGCTAAAGCTAGCATGCATTCGCTCCATTAACAAGCGCAAAACTAGTCTACACTATTGCAAACAAGGCGTTGGAATTACAGCAGTTGGAACGCTGTTGTGCAAAGGGTTTTTGGCGTTCGCCTCACTGCACCGCCATTGGCTCACTACAGCAGTTGAATAACGAAATGTTAATCAACTGTTAATGTATAACCTATCCATCAGAAAAGACCAAAGTCAGGCCGATAGAGGTAAATAAATAATAAAAAAACAGAGATTTTTTGCACCGAGGCTACAGTGATGTAGCAGCGGTGAGTAGGACAGTATAGCATTGCAGTTGTTAAGCTTATTTCTGCGGAGTAGCTTTGCACGTAGAGTATGTAATCAGCGAGGTTGCTGAGCTAATTTAAAAAGGGCCAATCTACCTAATGCCGAACGGTACGATAAGTGTTATGCCCAAGGCATGAGTAGTACAGCATCGCAGTATCTATTCTAGTAGTGCTGTGCTGTTCAACATTAATTCTAAAGCCAATGATATACTCTAGAGAGTAGAGAGATTCAGTTTGGATTGCAACTCGATTGCCATGTCTGCAAAGCAGTTTATTGGCTTGTACTGTCTACAAAAGAGTAAACTACAATATTGCCACACTAGACAGCATCGCAATTTCTCTTCTGTACTGTAGTAAAGGCACTCAACAAGGTCTCTCTTACCCTAGAAATAGTTGAACACTGAACAGCACAGTGCTGTACTGCAATTGGCAGAGGTCTTGTAAGCAGTGGTTCCTGTACAGTGCACAGCAGTTTTGTCAGCTGGAAGAGGCTATACCTAATCTACCTAACGTGCAGCAACATCTACATTATGAAGTAAGTGATGCAGCTCTGCCAATAAACTGCAAAAAGTCGACAGATATGACAGTCAACAGCAATGCATGCATGCATGCACGCATCATCACTTCTACAATCAAGGTAACTTCGCCTAGGTGATTCTTTCCATGCATGACAGTTTGGTAAACAAGGCGAGCTTGGCTGCAGTAGACCAGACTACCAGTAGTAGCTTGAGATTAGCAAACTCTTAAACTTTTAATCAACAAATTATAATATCTTTCACTAGCCACACTTAACCATTATTTTAATATACTAATAGTGAGTATTTTACTAGAAGATCGACGCTGAAATCTAACCTGTAATAGATCGCCAGCACAGTACTACGAATCGCAAGTACCGCCATTACAGTAGGTCTTCCTAGAACATTTCGTTGTGGTGAAACTCTTTCTCTTAAAAGTTGGTATGGAACAGTACTTACTATAGCCATGGCTACACTTCTTAATTGAGTTGGCAATGGCTCCATGAGATATTAAAATCCTTCTTGATGAATCATCCTTACTGCCTAGAACTGTTAGTGTCCTTCATTATAGCGATAGTTCAGTAATTTAAAAAGTTGTTGCTCAATTACTTATTGAGGAAAGAACGCAAAGAACATCCCATCAGCGAATCTCCGAATAAGAGCATCCACTAGTGCTTGATATCAGCTCTCATACCCCGTAGATATGGCCAAATCTCACACTGTTATTGGCAATTGTTTTACCAAAGAATTTACTTTAAAATCCAATCATGACAATTTGTATAATTTACTAACACTAGACTGCGATAAAATATTTACAACTGCTTCTTGGTCGCTTGATCAATTCTCGAAGTTAGAAAAGGAATTGAATGAGATTAAGTCACGTTTAAATGATTATGATATCAAAGTCTGGCAGCAACACACATCATATACTAACTTAGCCCATGATATTGTCTTCCAGTTAAAGCAGCAATGCTATCCTGAGCTGTGCACGCAAGCTTGGGCTAAGTTTTATGAGATTTTGCATCGCTGCAATATTGATCAACGCTTAAATTTACAACAATGGTCTGATGATCTAGATTTATCACAGATACCTTTAAGCTCATTGCATTTATGTGAAGGTCCAGGTGCTTTCATGACCAGCTTCAATCATTACCTTAAGTCGCATTATCCGCATTTACCTTGGCAATGGCTTGCAATGACATTAAATCCGTACTATGAAGGGAATAAAGATGGTAGCACTATCACTGACAATCGACTCATTTCCAAAACTTTATCACATTGGAACTTTGGTCGAGACAATTCCGGCAATATATTGCATCGTCACAATATGACTTTTCTGGTTGAGTCATTAAGTCAATGGCCATCTATACGTTTGGTAAGAGATCGATAGTCTTCATGCTTCTTTACCAAACTACCTTGCAATAGATAATTATATAATTTTATCGATGAACCTCTATGAATAAATTCCTAGAGATAACAGCTATTCATATAAGAGATTAAAATAGATATAATAACATATACCTTGCACTACAATATACTGTATATATACAATCAGGAAATACTTTCATGAATTATACTATGTTTGAGTGACACCTATAATTGAATAAAACACATTATTTGCTAAATTTAAGTTGCTAAAAGCGTATTAATTCTTCTTTTTGGATTACTGTATTTCAGGTAACTGCTGATGGAAGTATTGATTGTTCTGATCGTCCAGGACAGCAAGAGGCTATTGTATCTCCAATTCTTTACTGTGAAACATTAACCGCATTAAGAATATTAACTAAAGATGGGGTTTACGTATTGAAAATGTTTACGTCGTTCCAACATCGTTCAATATGCTTAATTTATTTGCTATTAAATGTATTTCAAGAGGTATAAATATTTCAATGTTTTCATTCATACAACTGTTATCAACATCGAATCTAATGCTTATTTATTTGACTAACTTTTTTATGCTAATGGTAAATTACTCTTGATCAGGTTAAAGCTATTAAACCTTCATGTAGTAAGAGCGGCAACTCTGAAGTTTACATAATTTGCATCGGATACATTGGTTTTAACGCTATACCAAAGCAATTTTGGGATAACTTATGTGCTAATTATGGTAATTACAAGTAGTACACATCGTTTATTTTACGAGTATGCAAGGATTTATAAACTGTTACTCTTGCATTCTATAGGGCTTGAAGACAGATGTATTTCACTCTTTCCTCTAGACTATATACCAGTACCTATTATTGATAAAATATACACTTTTTGCCAGTATTTTTCAACTCTACAGGTACGTTGTGTGATAGATTTTTTATACTCTGGCATATCTTCGACAATATCGCGTTCGCCAGTAGTTTTCAATAATAAATAAATGAATCAAGGGATGTTTAACGCAGGAAATTTTTATTCTTAGTTTAGAAACAAAGTTAATGATAGCGTAAAAGTATTTTACTATTAACGTAGATAATACTATTAAATATGTAAGCTCACTGTATCTATTAAGTAATTAAATCAACCCTAGTAAACAGTAAATTATCTATTAATAATTATATAATTTATAATTGCTTACGACACGGATATAAAAATATTCCTTTGCTATACTCGTTCTTATTTGGATAATTTCAAATAATGATAGATTGATGCTATTCAGCGAAATATCCGACTGTTTGATACGTTAAATAAGTCAAACAGAAAATTTATTAGCAAGGTATCATACATCATTTGTTACATTTGCACAATAAATTATACCGTTTTATTTTATAAATAACCTAAGCTGCACAGTTTTATAATACACGTATTATAGGCTAAAAAGGCAATAGCGAAAGAATATATTACAAGGTATCAAGTTTACGAAATTCAGCCTGAAAAAAAGATTGTATCCTCGGTAGACGTGGTAAAGAAAAATAAATGATCATTTCGCCCGCTTGATTCGCTAGTACATTTTTATATTAGGCATAAATGAAAGTGATTTGAATATTTCTTAAGTTCTGCTTTTCTTGATTAAAGAATCTAAGCAGAAGAGACGATAAATTTAAGAGCATCGGATCAAAGGCCGGTAGTTTTAACCAACGTGTTGGCCAAACAAAGAGAAAATGGTCAGAATCGGTTAATGATTATAATATTCCCGAATTACTGAAAATTGAGACAGGTACATTTGTTGTGCTATTTAAGCTACCAACTTAAAGGACTTTTATTAATAAATTATGATTTTTCCCCCAGCTCCTTGCTCTAGTCGGTTCCCACGGAATAGAATATTTCGAGAAGAAATTTGTAATTTACAGTGGCTTCATGTATGCAAGAGATAATTAGCGATTTCAGCTACTTGAAAATATTTTAACCTTAAGGAAGTAATTAATTTTAAATCACAAAACTTATGCTAAATTTTTTGTAAATCAAAGTGTAATGACACGTTAATTGAAACTGAAAACTGGACAAGAACTTACGGTTTCTATCCTGCCGAGGTCCATTCTCGCTAAATGATTTTAATTCATACTGTTTAACAGTGCTACAAGCACGTAAATTCAATCTTTCTGAAGGATATTTTACACTTTAATAGATATGCAATTCATGCTTCGCTTCCAACGAGCTATTACTTGATGTCATGTCTGTACGCCAAGAACAGTCAAGACACAAACAGGAAATTAAGGTACGGAGATTAATATAGTCTTGATATAAGGAGTAGCACAATATCAGCATTGCAAATAAGTCATCAGTTTTATCGAGCGTAACAGTATTCTAGAATACGTAAATACTGACTCTTTACTTGTCTATGATTCTAATACTTTCCTTGATACGAAATATGACTTCAACGATTACATCTGAATTATAATTAGCTCAGTAGATTGCGTCATCAAGTAATTACAGTAATAGGAGTAGCTACTATCTTGAAAATTGACGAGTGTAAACGATTAATCTACAGGTCACTGAATAAATTAGATTCGAAAGTATAAATCAAACTCGTAATTTAGGTTGCGTAGTTACAAATATAACTGCTTAATAAGAATTGATCATTCATCAATACTATATTTATTAATATTCAGACAATAGACAATTATCAGAACCATTCTTTAAGCCCAACATTTTACAGCAACAGCTGCTACAAAAGTATAGCTGATATATTATTGTCAGTTACGAAAACTGGCAATCAGGCAAAGTACGTAGTGTTATCAGGTAAAGTCCAACATATCCTTTCGAATATTTGTAATCAATCTGGAGTGAGCGACGACCAGGTAAGTTTATCCTCGATATCACAATTTACATCATGAGTTTGAGATCCTCTTAAGTTTAATTAATTATCGATTCTTTGTACCTCACCTAGGTCAAAGTTATAACAACCAGCAATGAATCTGCACCTTGTTCCACATATTTTGCCATATCTTCCACATCCGAACTTATTAGCAGTTTTGATTCCTGTGAAAGGTAAAAAAGTTTGAACATTGTTAAATGATGCAGCATACAGGAATAATTTGATAGCACTGATACTGTCCATCTACTTTTTGAAATACGTATATTTTAGCTAGATAGTATATTAATTTAGTTTAATATTATTATACATTAATTAGATATATACAAGAAACTTTCAAGGCTGTAGATATTGTATTCGCAGACTTTCATCCAGAATCAATCAAAGAGAGAGCTTCACAAACAAGCCATAATAAGTTAATTTTATCCGAAGTACTACTTGCTTGCAAGGTAAGATCAGTTCCGTTAAATTTTTACATTGATTAAAAATTGTGTAATGATATGCGATAATATTTTCTCGATAGGTATTGGCAATGAATGGTCACCTTATATTAACTGTTGGCGATTTACTGAGTCGTTTCCAGTGCAGTGTTGTATATATGCTTCACGTTTTTTTCAACAAGGTATCGTATATATACACGGTTTTGTTGTTAGTAATCTACAAGATACTAATCGTGGCATGGATATGATACTGTCCTATAGGTGTCTATACTACATTCGATTGATGATCAAATTCGCTGCAAAACTATTATCTGTTGCGGATATCGTGGACCTGACACCTTGGCTCAAGCGATTAGTGTAATGTGCCGCTTAATTTCACTTAAATTTTTTGGTAATTCCTTCAATTCTATATTAGCTACAATTTACGTCTTGGTACTTCATTTATAGCATTTGCAGCAGACGCTTAGCATGGTATCAATATTACGTCACGATGAAGATGGTACCAATGAAGTTGATCTTCTTTGCTTTGTGCCGATATCATTGCTAACTGACGAAGGTAGGAACTGTTATAAAAATTAGAATTACATTATTCACAGTTTCAGCAATAATAGCTTTCGTAATACCAGATGCGATTTCAACTATCTTTCATAGGATCAGAGTTTTATAGATATATATATGAAATTAATAATCGCAGTCTGGGATTTGAACTTGCTGTTCGAGCAAATAAAAAGTAGGCCACTCTCTGTGTTAATATGTGAAAGGCTAACATAATTCCATTGGATGATTTCGGACGTTTCGATATCACAGCTATGGACAAAAGCTGATGGTTTAAGTACCGTAACAGAAATTAGAGGTAGCGTGGATTTTTACAATTTGCAAATGATTGACTTGAATTTGCTCCAATGTTTAAGTGCATTACTATCTTAAATTAATGTATTATAAATAGGATTACAGCATTTGTCAAGAATAATAGCATATACTGTGGTATCCCAGGTAGCTCTCATATTAGATGCAATCACTTAGCTGCTGAAGTATTTAGAAACTTGATCTATGATGAAGTTTGATTATTAGCTGAAGTAACTGATACTATTCGACATTATAGTTCATGTTTTTATTAGATGGATATATACAGTGAATCCACTCTAGACTACTTGTATCATTGCAGCTATACATCTGTGACAGTTTTAAATTGTCAGCATCTCTTTAACGCCAGTTTTAGATGTTTTCATAAATTAATTATTCATATGTAACTGCTTAGAGGCAAATAATTTTCGTATTTTACTGTATTGAAACATAGGCGACTAGCTGTGTTATTATTGTTTGTGCTATAGTTTATTCTACAGTACCCGCCGCATGTGTAATAAAATGCTTCTCATGAACTGCCAAGCCTGTAACTGTAAATATACAATATGCTAATACGGCATGTAGCCTTGATTATATTGTCATAATTGCAAGGATAATTATCCGACGAATTTTGCTTAAAAGTAATCAAATTTATAGTTGAAACAATTTAAAAGTCTTAAATGGTTTTATTTTGTGTCAGTATCGCTACGTTATTGACAGTGTAGATTGAAATATTGTAATTTTTGCGATTAGGAAATATTACGACAATGGTAGGTTACCAAAGCTACAACCGATAATATTTTTGATATCATTTGATTGTTAACTCTATAATTTATTTTTTACATCATAATAAATGCTAGTGGCAAATGAATACCCTACTCAAAAATCATAGCATTTTGGTAACCGCTATTGCAGCATATAGGGCAACGAAAAGAATTAAATATAATTAACAATTAATTACAGTCAGCTTAGGCGATTCAATCCATATGAAACTGTCAATTTTAGGAATAATCTAAAATAAAAAATCATAAATTAAAGGGTAACCATAAAAAGTCCTGTCGTGAGATGAATTAATATAAAAGCACAGTTGTATTTAGAATACAATATCAAGACTTAGTCGGTTAATAATAACGTTTAAGCATGAAAACATAAAGCATAATATATATGTATTTACAAATCAATGCGCAGAATTATTATGATAAAGATAGAAGGACACTGTACATTGTTATCCAATATGCATGTCTAACAAGACTAGCTATCGGAGAATGTTAATTGAACTGAAAGGCGACTATTTTCTATTTGATTCAATTCCTAGGGGTAATTAATTAATTGATAACATCATTGAGATTTATACAAATCTCAGCATCTATTACACTAAAACAATAATAAACTCTTCGTCCGGATTAAGATGAGCAACTGAGCATGCAAAAGGTGCCCAATTGCTGTATTTGCTGACCATAGATAACAATCGCGGCATCAGTTTATAACTTTACAGAAATGAAAATATAGTATCGGTCTTGATTTATATCCATGATAAGCTAAATCTTTAAGATATGAACGCCAGATGTATTGAATTGTTAACTGACTAATTAAGCTAGCAAGAAAAAGGCAATTCTTTGTTCTTCAATATAGTACTAGTTAAAAGAGTTATATTGGTTCCATCTTTGATGCAACGAAGGAAATAGCATCTAGGGTTATGAACATCTATACACACTCTACAGTATGGCATTGGCTGATTTCCAGTTCGCTTGATGCTAGGCAAATTCTTTAAGATATCATTGCTGATGGTATATCTCGATAGATTAAAGTTATTTTGTTGATACGATTGCGATTATTAACTTTAGTTATCATTTGCACGGGAGCCGCTGGCTTTGAATGCTTGTAACTATCCATTAATTGACGAGGCGTAGCATTGGTCGTGCCATTAATGCTCGTTGGAATTGCAGCTTGTAATCCGTTAGGCGGGTACTTATTTTTAGCTTGTAGTGCAGTTTTGGTAATAGACTTAAAGTGATTACTGCTATTGCGTAGTTGATTCCTTTTACTCAGTGGTCGAAAGTAACCTGTGCTAACAGCTGCAGCTGATGGGATAGATTTAACATTATATTTAGGATTTCCTTGCGATCTTGCATGTTGCATACTATCATTTGAGGCATTAGTAGAGAGTGGTTGTCTAAATTTCTTCCAGAAAGTGGCCCCCTACGTTAATGGTAGATGAAAAATTAGTATAAACTTCAGATCCCCTTGGTATGATAGGAGTTGATAGATATGACATGAAAATACGAGTATTCTACTAAGGAGTAATGATAATTTACAAATATTAGAGGAAATTACATATGTATTTAATATATGAAGCAAAAGACGAGAGTAGATAAATGTCTGGTCTAGTAATATTCAATAAACTTTACTAAACGGCATTTGATTCGAACTTGACAGTTCTAGTATAGCTTATAATATTATAGAACTGATCAATTTTATAAGTTGATGAAGAATAGAGAAATCAGAATGGAATCAGCCGAAGATTGTTTATGTGACCAAGTCCCATTTCCTTACCCTTTTATCCGGTTGCTCGTGATCATGAGCCGTTTCATCAAATGATTCGTTAATAATCACGTCACTGTTACATAATAACATTAAAAAATAGAAATAGCGTTAATATCACTCCATTTTAATATATAAACATTACACAATATTATATAATAATAACAACAAATATATATTAATAAATTGAGCTAACTGTAAATTTTAATGGCTAATTAAAGTATCGACATGGAACGGGAAGAACTACTTATATAGTAATTACAAATAGTAAATATGAAAAGTATGAAAATATCCTTTTGTTAATATATCAACAAAAATATTTTGAGTCTATCTTAATTTCATTTTTTAGTTGAGTTTATTCGCTAATCTAAAAATATTTGTTTCTAATATAATTGCATGTAAGATTACTCTTAAGTTGAATGAAATGGTTATTTACATCGTACATGATTACTCATAGATGTTCAACCTTAATGAATATTGCGGATTGGTTAGCATAAAAATCACTCTCCAAAAAGCTCAGTTTATGTGATTGAGATCGAGATATTAAAAAAAGTTATTATTTCAGTGTACCCAAAATAATTAATCAGTTTGTATCCATCATTATCCTAACTCAGCTATCATTGAGGCAGGGATGTAACAGATAGCGATTAAAACTTGAAAAAATTGATTTCTACTATAGAACTGGGCGATAGTAGTTTCACCTCTCATAGCATGTTTACTACAATAATTATCACAAGAACTAGATCCTACGAATTTACGAGCCAGAATGAATTAGGGGTAAGACAAAATATTATATTTGCCACTTGGAATCACACTGTTCAGCACTCCATATTTGAATAGATGTAAAGTCGAATAAATTAGATAAAATAATTAAACTGACAATTGGAGATGATTAAATACCGTAAGAAACTTAGTCAAAACTTTTACTGCTTAAACTAGCAGTCAAATATCTTATACTGCTACTACTATAAAATCTCAGAAGCAGAGATGGAATAGATACCGTAATATTTAAAGCGAATCAGAACTGTAATAATTATCATGTGCTATTTTTGAAATTGCAGCGCAATTACTGTAACGGTTGGACGATAAACTTGTTTTCTTAAATTGGAGCATGAGATGGAGGAAATCACTACCTAAAAAAAGTTATAACGATCTCGAAAAAGTGACTTACTGTTGCTGATGTGGTGATGAGTTCCCATTTCGCTGCTTATACAATGCTAACTGATGTTCATAGGTACGCCTCTCTTTAGCTTGTTTTTGTGAATCACAATCGTCATCCTGTTTTCTTAAAGTATTTTCATCATCCTGCTTAATTTCTAATCGATTTAAGCCAATAGTATGATTTTCACGATATTGTTCAATGTATCTCTCACTTTGCTGGAAATGCTGAAATTTATAATCAATGCTTGGTTTGCTATTTAACCGATGAAATGGCAAATTATTGGCTGATGTTGATGATGACTTTTTACTGTGCTGGCTAGAAGGAGCAGAAAAAGCTGATTTATGACTGCTGCGTGGCTTATTTACTTCATGATATTGGGGTATCCAGCCATGTAAATCATTGGTTTTCTGATGGCGTGAAAATGTAGCATGATTATTTGTAACATAATCTCGGACTAAATTGTTTTCTCGTTCTTCGCTGTCTAATAAATTATTGACCAATTCTTGACAATTTTCTCCGAATGCGTGACACGGGCCATGCATGTTTAACATGAAATTATTTTAGCATAAATAGGTACAATCAATATCAAAGTATTTTAAATAGTAACGGGGTTTGAGGTTGGAGAATGATTGAAATCTTGTTCTTTCTGTTTGCTGGGTCCTTAGTACAACAGGATAAAGTCAATAGTTAACTTTGTTGATTTGTAAATGAACCCGAGGATCCGTATCGATTATTTCTCTATTTTTTATACTTGTTCACTCCGAAGTCTTGAAGATAATAACAATTTTCTATGGATAGAAAGTTAAAGATAATGACCAAAACATAAATCGATATATCCAACAATAACGAAGAGAAATATAGCTTCAATTGAGTAATATCGTTATATGAGAAATTTTAAAGCGTTAAATACTGCAGTTTCAAATAACTTTAATGATAATCAGATGATGAACTAGGAAAATGATAAAATGCAAGATAGGGATGGTGGGTATGAAAGCGATACAGAAATGAGGAAATTAAGATAGATATAAAAGACAATACAAGCAACGACTTGATCAATAGCTAATTCTGTTTTAGAAATTATTGGAGACAGCGATATTAAACAAGGCCTAGAGTATTCTTACTCATAATATCAGCATGATAATACTTAATTACACCAGTAGTTCTATCGATAACAACATTAATACGTTGCTATAGTAACCATCTAATCATTGGTTTACGCAATCGGTATAGTAGCATCTATATGAAACTGAGGACAAAGACACCGTAGGTGTATTTTAATTTTATCTATTAGTGGAGTACTTTATTGCTATTTTATCGCCGCCGTGATTCATGACCATCAAAAAAGTAACCAATAGATAGATATTGATTGATTAGTGAAACAATATTAGAATTATAGGAACTGATGAAATGAAATCTGTTTTTGGTAGAATAATATATTATTATTAGTAGTTCGCATACTGAGATACAAATATAGTAGTACATCTATTTATCAATCCCACTGCCAGTTTATCAATATTGGTTAACAAAGGCAACTTTATATTAGACTGTATTTGCATAAGTGTCGTGGACAATATGTTGATAAAGTTATAAAACAACAATTAACAGATTTACGGTTTTGAAATTAGGCATGTATTGTTACTAATACATACAGAGTCTTTATCGATCGTAATAAACATCAGCTGAATTAAATTTATACAGTTACCTTATTCGTATGATGATCTGCTCATTTACTATACAATTTATAACTTGATGAAATGTAAAGATGTGTCAATTCGCTACTAATTTTTTGTCTGCAAAGGGGGAAAGCATTACTTTTTCTCCAAATACTAATATAAATTGTGTTTACATAGTCACTTTAAAAAAAATGATTAAATTGAATGATATTAATTTACAATTGATTGACCGGCATTTTAATCGCAATTCCTTTGCTTAACAAGCCTCGTCTCAAACCGATACCTTTCCATTTCATGCCGATCTAGTGTTGCAGAAGCTAAATTATAGCTAGCTACTGCTGTGTAGCGTGCTTCTCCTAGTATATATGTTTAGCTAGTATACTGGCTATCAGTTACCTAGAGCAGACAACTTCAAAAAGCAAAGCCATTTTCTCCCTATTAATCTTATGCATTTTATTTCGATTACGAAGTTCATGACTGATACACTTGTGAATAAGAATTGAATTGGGTAACATATAGAATAATAGCACTAAAAATATATGTAATTCCTCATAAGAAACTTCACCAAGTACAGAACAACAATATATATCATCATCAGTTTTGTAATTAACTTGACAAGCTACTGGCTAGATTTATGATGAGACTAATGATCATTGTAATAAGGTCGTGTGGGAGATTTTTAAGTAAGGGGTTAGTCTGAGCTATTTTGCAAATACGATTCAATATATTATCATCTCCAAAGTTTCAATCAATGATTAAAAACTTCCACTACAGACGTACGCTATCGCTAAGAGAATTCTCAACTGCACTGAATTTATGGTTTATTACGTCAACGTGCGCTGATTTTAAATTTCGCTTCATGTTGGGTATACAATCCGAATGATGCTATCGAATACTGCAAAATCTTTCTAAATCTTTCGATTCACCCATTACAAAGTAACAATACTATTAAAGATTACATTTTAGAAGATTTTTGAATAAAGATTCTATTATATTTTCGTATCGTCTATAAGTCGTTATCATTAGACAAAAAAACTTTGGTCCTGTGATATTAGTTAACATATCATGTTGCCTTTTGATTGATTGCGAATAAAAATGTTTCTTTAAAGGTATATTTCATATAATAACAGATATTTCAGGCAAGAACATTTCTGGATTAAATTTCAAACGTTAGCAGTAACCGTATGGGTCTACCGATCTTCCTAAGCCGATTGTTACCATTTCTTCTTTTGATCATCAACGCTGAGGCCACCTGGACCGTGAGCAACAATCAGTAAAAGCCCACCAATAACCGACATATATTGGAAGAAATCGTATCTGAGGTAATCTTGAATGAATGTGTCAGCGCTGTACATCCAGAATGGATTGAGGTATAAGTTAACACACAACAACCAAACAACTAGAACCAGCGAGGATAATTTAGTCTTAAAGCCAACGCCAACAAGGATAATTAAAGTTGATCCAAAAATGTTTTGTATGATAGAAATGAAACTAACATCAAACCGAAAGAGGGTCATAAACATAAAAACTAGTAGCAACCTGCCAGCTAACTGTAAGTAAGTCTGTGGGGTATTGCTATCCAGTCGTGGTACACCAGCAAAAATACTCTTGGTTTCCCCTTTGCATTCAGCCAAGAGAAGTATGAGACCGCCACCAATAGCGAAATTTCTAATAATGAATAAATTGTAAGTTAGCAATGATGTAGAGATAAAAAGAGAGTTTGTGATTGGAATACGTTTGTAAAAACGAGATATAAAGTCGGACATGCAACAAGATCACTTTCCAAATTGACGACAGTATAAATTGTATCATCATAATAGTACTATAAATGACAACAGTAATCATTCCCTTTAAAATAGCGACCATCTATTGGTACGCAATTTTCTAATCATGAATAAATTGTAAGTTAGCAATGATGTAGAGATAAAAAGGGAGTTTATGATTGGAATACGTTTGTAAAAACGGTATATAAAGTCGGACATACAACAAGATCACCTTCCTAATTGACGACAGTATAAATTGTATCATCATAATAGTACTATAAATGATAACTGAAATCATTTCCGTTTATAATGGCGACCATATATTGGTACGCAATTTTCTAATCATGAATAAATTGTAAGTTAGCAATGATGTAGAGATAAAAGAGAGTTTATGATTGGAATACGTTTGTAAGAACGGTATATAAAGTCGGACATACAACAAGATCACCTTCCTAATTGACGACAGTATAAATTGTATCATCATGATGGTACTATAAATGATAACTGAAATCATTTCCGTTTATAATGGCGACCATCTATTGGTACGCAATTTTCTAATCATGAATAAATTGTAAGTTAGCAATGATGTAGAGATAAAAAGAGAGTTTATGATTGGAATACATTTGCAGTATACAAAGTCGGATATGCAACAAGATCACCTTCCAAATTGACGACAGTATAAATTGTATCATCATCATAGTACTATAAATGATAACTGAAATCATTTCCGTATATAATGGCGACCATCTATTGGTACGCAATTTTCTAATCATGAATAAACTGTAAGTTAGTAATGATGTAGAGATAAAAAGAGAGTTTATGATTGGAATACGTTTGTAAAAACAGTATATAAAGTCGGACATGCAACAAGATCACCTTCCAAATTGCCGACAGTATAAATTGTATCATCATAATAGTACTGACAACAGTAATCATTTCCCTTTATAATGGTGACTATCTATTGGTACGCAATTTTCTATAAATGATAACAGTAATGCGAAATTTCCAATCATGAATAAATTGTAAGTTAGCAATGATGTAGAGATAAAAGAGAGTTTATGATTGGAATACATTTGTAAAAACAGTATACAATTGTAGTCGGACATGTAACAAGATCACCTTGCAAAATTGACGACAGAATAAATTGTATCATCATAATAGTACAGTACTATAAATGACAACAGTAATCATTTCCCTTTATAATGGCAACCATGTATTGGTACGCAATTTACACTATTAATTAACATTGATTAGTACATTGCATAAAGCAAATATTCACTCACCTCATTAGAAAGCGAAGCTCCCAGATGACATTGTACAGAATAGTCTAACATTTGGAGAAAGGGAAAGATAAATGATATTAATTTAGTCTTATCCACATCAACAAATTACATACAGTTCATGGAAATAAATGACGAATGTACTGCTGTAGAGTAGTATACTGGACGGGCGTCCACTTTATCCTTTATAAATAATTCATGTCGGAATAAATTAGTTTCAGTCATGCAAAGTAGACGTTTACCAATTCTACGCTATAATATTACTATTTCTACACAAGGACTGCAAAGTAAGAATCTGTAGGTTATTGCTTCCTGCCCTCTAGGGGATAATATCTTTCATACTGGATAAACTAGCAGCTGTGATGAAGTAGAACTATTCCATGTCTACCATCGCCATTTTAAAGTTGGCTGCCATGACTAATTTTCTCCACGGCCGAACCCCTTTCAACTCCGTGTCGTTGGTGTCGACTATACTAGCTCAATAGTATCGTACTGTCGTTCTATACAATATACTAAGACTACAACAGTCGTGTTTTAGAGTTTGATGAATTAATTATTGTCGCACTGTTGTTGTCCAACACGATAGTTTAATGGTCCAAACCGAGCACGCGGCAACTCTTTATGACCCAAAAGAGTTTTACATCACCTAAAAACACTAGCATCCAGTGCAAACTGTTTAATTTAACTAGCTCGTACAATCCGCCAATAGCCATCAGACATGTGGCTAAATCAGCCTATAGAACAATAGTGAAGTACTATGTCGCGTAGCACTTTAATCCCAAGGTAAATTTATGTTGCCAAAGTCCCTACTCCAAAACTGAAAGACTGTCCAAATGACATCAACTACTCATGGTAGAGCACTCCACACGGGGGAAAATTGCTCAAAATTTCATAGTGTACTGGAAATAATGGTTGTTGAAAGTGACGAGGACAATATTGTCCATTTTTCCAGCTTAATTACAGTATGTTGTCAATCACGGATCACTACCAAAGGGCATCCTCGAAGACAAAGCGCTAGCAATTTATGATACACAATGAATTGATCATAGTAGGTTATGATCATTTAGTTTATTCGTTGTCAGTCCAGTATGTCGTAAGTGAATTTTACGCTAAATGCGATAGAAATGGAAAATAGATGAACGAGGAGAACTACGTTGCATGATGGACAAAGTTAGTTGTAATCGCCGTTTAAATTGAATGTGCATGTCGTGGCCTAGCCTATCCATACTGTATATGTTATTCATAAGATCGGTCATTGTAGTGCACGCGGAATTCATCATCACCATGAGTTGTTCATCATGTTATGGTTTATTTACTATCAAAGTAGATATCAGTAAGGGGGAAAAATTAGCCGTAATAATTATAAAATATCATTATTTTAAAGCGTTACTTCTCAAGATCCACGATCATGGGCATCCATGCGTAGATAGGGAGAGAGAACAATTTTGCCTAGGTGGCGTAATATGTATGGTATGACCAAAAAAGGATCGCTTAGACTAAGGAGAATTTTTCGGACAAATAGAATCCACCGGTCACCGGTGTTGTAGCCATCATCAGTGATTCAAATTGTATCCACTAGACTGTATGACACATCGTAATAGAATCTCTTCCATGGATAATAGTGTTGCATAAATTACTGTGGCTACGAGTCATGCTATTGTAATTTTCCTTCATTCTTATTTCACATGATTCCTGTCATTATTGCTAACTGTATCATAAATTGGGCATTTTGTTCTTCTATAATTCATCGACAACAGTGTGATTGATGTACGGTATATTATACCAGCAGTATACAGTATTAGTACGATCATTGATCAATCAGCCTTATGATAGGCATTGATTTAGCTTTGAAAAATTGACATTATCCATCACAAACACTAAAGCTCGTCTGCTATAGTTGAAACCGATTCAAGACGTATGACTCACTATCCACTACACAGTGTAAAAATCAACTATTTCCATCATCGGTTAGTATCTGTCATAAATCGATTTAAGGTTGTCTTTTCTACCTGGAGTACGACGACACCTGCGAGTATACCAACACCAATTTCAACTTTCTTTCGAGATAGTACCATAGCACAACCAGCAATCTGGCCTATCAAATTGATTAAGACAAATAAGAAACTTAAGAAACCACCCATGCCCCATAGATCCTCCATATATTTGCGTTGTTCTGACCACTGCGTCCACATACGAATTCCATCTTCCAGAAAGGTAGATATAAGGCAAACTCGAGCGATATGCGGCAGATAGCGTTTGGTAGATCTTAACACATCATCAGCTAAGTCTTCAGCCTTAGCAATATATTCGCTATAAGTGGATTTATTCTGACGGTTCATCTTCAATCGCTTTCCAAGATATCTTGTACACTTTCTCCGCGGAAGACATCAAGACAGAAGGAGGATGGATTGCGCAGTTGCTGTTATATACGTACTGAAGCGAAGCTCTGACACGTCTGACCATCGTACTCTGCGAGTGTAGCGGTACAAGGGTGAATCGTCATCGAGAAACAATCAAACTGAGTGACGCAAAAATTTGCAAATTTGAAAGCATTCCCTTATACACTACACGACCAGAAATGATCCGAGGTGTAATTTCCTCTAGTCTACGACTGTTTTGAACACGAATCGGAGATGAGGAGTGGCCATTGAGTGCAAATAATACCGTTCTTACACAGTACAGTACAGTATAGTACAGTGTCAGTTACAGTATATTGTAAAGTACCACAGTACAAGTACTGTAGTATACTGTACTGTACTGTACGGTGTACAGTGCACGTACTGTGCACTATACGCGATGTACTGTAAGAGTCGACATGGCGATTGGGGGGGAGATAGCGGAGATGGGGAAAAACCAACAAGGGTAAAATTTGTATGGAATGTACCATACTGACTGTAAAACTGACAGCAGTCATTTTCATTCAAATCTATATTGCAAATATAGCCTATAGATATATATAGTTATACATATTATGGTTGCAATGACAAAATTCTTATATCTTCATTCAATGTTGTAATAGTGGCCACCCTAGTAGTTGCAATAATAAGGCATAGTTGCAGTACTGTACAAGTGTACATGCCAATTTCAGTCACTATAATACTGCACTAATTTACGGTATCAAAGTTCAATTTCATTTCATCCCCAGCTAACATAAGGCCAGTTAAGCAATGATGTAACGTCTAATCGTTTCCCTTACGCCTTAATTTTCAAAAAAATCAAAATCAAATATATAAATAAATTACAATTGAACAAGCTAATCGCTTTGCGGCGAAATCAACTACGCATGTACACAGGCATCATTCCTGCGACGAAATGAAATGTTTTCCGTTGCCTAGCAACTCCTACGTTCTTTGCCATAAAGCCTCTAGCGAGTAGCAGAATCGAGTTTATTTGGATATTAACCAGTAATCCTTTTGAGAGTAATGAGGTACTATTGCTTATGTTACTATACAAGCATTCATTTTAATATAAGATTGTACTTCGATGAGATTTAATCTCAAGGCTTACAGTTAGTCATTTCTTACTTGCAAAATGGCGTCAACAGTACAAAATAATCGAGAGGAGTTACAAACAAGTAGGACACCAAGTCCTAAAGTAACCACATTACCTTATATCAATCCAGCCAATGAAAGTATTATTACCCAAAGGAACGAAGATCATTCTGGCAGAATGAGTTCGTCAAATATTGCCAACGATCATATACCACAAGAAGTTTTAGCCAACTTAATTCGATTATCAACACCACCACCTAATAAAGATCATGTTGGCATATCTGCAAAAAAGAAGTCCAAGAAGGTCAGAAAATTTTCGATGATACAATTTTACCTTAATATAATATCATTACCAAGCTGGTTATTGTATTTTGCTTACTCTTGTGTAATATTGATAGGCTATCCAGTCAGTATTATAGCCCAAGCATAAGCAATATACTGATTCTTACGTTTTCTTGTGTAATGTTGATAGACTATCGTGTTCATTCAATAGTATTGCAACCCAAGAATAAGCAGCGTAATCTACATATCGAAATAAATTAAATTCGAGTTTGAATAAAAATACATCAAGCATAATTATCTGTCAATCAAGTTAAACACTAGTCTAAAAAAAATAATCTGAGCTACGACAATTAAGAACTACTGCTGTTAAATGTTGGATTTAAGCTGTTGACGGTGCAGAGCAGTAGTGTATCATAACAAGATAATTTATGTATCATTGATTATTTTGGTAAAGTACTTTATGGCTCAACCTTTATTAATAGAGATAATCTAATATATTGCTTATAATTAAGGCAATATGTCGTCTGTATTTCTTGAGGTTCATGAAAGAATATCTTTCTATTAGATATAGTATTGATCTACATAGAAAAAGGGCGATAATAGATAAAAATAGAAGGCGCAAGCAATTACTTGTAACTGCTTCCGTTACCACATTATAATAATTATGCAATTAATCATAGCTACCATCGCCAAGAACACCATCCAATGCTTGGAATTTCGCATCGACAAGGGAAAAATTTAAACATTTGGCTGAAAAACCTACATGCACATGTGGAGCTGGAAGGTTTATATCATGTTTAAAGTTTTAAATTGTGCTAACTAAGAATATTACTTTAAACAACAATCCCATAACTAACATCTTTTTTTGCTTTCTAGTGGGCTGACTTTCTTGTATGATAAATCGAATAGTCCAGTAAAAGATACTGAAGTATCCATTGATGACAATGAAAGAGCTGAGAAAAGTCAAGAGTTAGCGCGAACAGTGTTAAAAAATCCTAACAATGAAACTAAATTAAGCGTATCGCGTGAAAAAATCATTACATCGTTAGCAGATACGGAAGCTAAAGACTCAAACGACGAAGAGAAAAATACAACGGTTGCAAAAACGGTATTAGATACAAATTTGATTCATGTTATCACTCACTACTCAAGTTAATGACACAATAATTATAAATAACCTTTTCACCTGTTCGATATTTGTAGACGCATAAAATACCAGATACATTAATTCCACTCGAATATCATATCATCAAGGCACCCGCTGTTGCTGGACTAGAGTTCCAAGATGAGTAAGTTGATATTTCTTATGATACAAATAAAATTTTTTAATTTGAAGTAATTATTAATTAAATCCAGCTATGTAACCCTGAAATATTGTTTTTCAGCAAATATACAACAAGAGTCCACGATCATGAACATCATGTAACCGTATTTCCATCACTGTAAGCTATCTAGTGATATTTAAAAAATCATTTTGAGAATCAGAATTTTTATTTACTTTTTATATCATTTTAAATAGCTTAGGCAGTCATAATTAGGTTTAGTTTTGTAATGGTATTGTATTATATTGTACTATAAAATTTAAATTAAAAAATAAAATTATACCGTTGTTGAATAATATACATACTAGGCGGCCAACTAGTAGACAAGAAGTTCTTCAGTTAAAGCATACAATGGAGTTAATGCTTAAAAAAGCTGGTATATCTGACCTTGATACTTCTAAATCCACGGGACCAACACAGGTAATACTGTTATGACTTTTGGCGTAACTTTGTACTTTACCAGAGGAATGATATTATTATCTTTATGAAACAGTAAACTAGATTATCACAAACTAGTGGTTTTACAACTGTTGAATAATTTTTTCTATTTTATAAATCTAGATCCACAACTTATTAGATGTCATTGAAAAGGAACAAACGATTTATAACATTTGTTTTCATGAAGTTATTCGACAGGTACATTAAATCTGCGCATTTTAATCTACATTTTCATATCAAGTTAATCCTTATAATTTTAAACAAAAACATTTAACATAAGATGACCCTTGCTGTATTTATTTATAAAATTTGATTACTCAGGTAAGCGTTGAATGTGTAGAACGTGGAGAGCTACTGGCAGATATTCGTCAAAGATATTCGGGATTATTTAATCGTATTCCACGTCAAATTATGAGGTAAGTATCATAAATAAGTATAGTACAAATTTAGTGCTGTCTATATGCACCACAAGTAACAGCATTTCGGGTGATAGATTTGTCCCAGTCTAATACTACAATAAATTTTACCCAAGACTAATTCTGATTGAGTTTCTCATATTTTGTCCTATTAGCTTATACGAGGAAATATTAGCTCAGAGAGCCCTTGATCGGTTTGTTAATTTATAAAAAGTAGAAAAAAATGATCATTATATCCAACGTCATTTGCTATAAATAAATAAATCTTAATTTTAGACGATTGATTGCTGAACTATCGCGATTTAAAACTTCCATTGGTGATTTATCCAAGTAATTAATTATTGAATGAATTGAATGTCTTGTAGGTTATATTTGCCTTAATGTACATTAAAATTTTAATATCCTACAGAGAGTTAGCTGAAGTTAGAAATCATGATTTTCGAATGAGTTCGGAAGCTAAACAAGCAAAAGCTAAGGTATAAGCAAAAAATTGTAGGATATTTTTAATGGTAATCTCGCAATTTTTAATTCTTTGACGTATTGAAAACATTTATATTGTAATACATATTTATTAGCTTGTATCAGCAATGGAAGAATCCGATAAAAACGTTAGGTAAGAATATAAGCTGCATTAATCTGTATTTACAAACTACACATCTTGCTAGCTTGTATGCATGTTTTGGCTATCGCTAAGCGGTCATTAAGCTTTAATTAAATTTTTAATGTCAAATCTTATAATATTTCACAGTTTACTTACTGAATACCATCAGTTATACGAATTACAACGAAGGCGGTTAGAAGTCCAAGTTGGTGAGTAGAAATATCGCTTGTATAATGCAGCTATAAACAATGAAATTAGCTCATCTTTTATTTTAAATACTTCCTTGATGCCAATAGCTCAATTATCAGAGGAACGAGAGATCTGGAGCAATTGTGCATATAGTCTATCTTTGAAGGTAACAGAAAGCCATCAGCTCAATACAGCAAGAAGATTACATCTAAGTGAAAAAGCGTGGGTGAAATTTGCTACTCATTTCACTGTTTTAACAAGTGATCGCGACTCAATTGAGGTTAGAGGATAGTAAAATAAATTGTATGAAGTAATTAATAATCCCCATCTTTACTGCGAATACTTATAGTTTCGATATTATTTATTATAGTTATCTCAACTACAACACAAAGCTCATATGTGGCAAGAAAAGATCGACCGATTTGTTCGTAGTGTAAATAAGAAAGAAAACAACTTGTGCGACCAATTAAATAAAACTAATAGTGGTATTCGAAGATGGTTAAAAGAATTTGATAAATGTCTATAGTAAGTTTATTAATTCTTCCCGATTGATTGATATTTTTAGCAATAGCATTTCCTGTAAAGAATTAATAAACATAATTTAAAATGTTAAAACTAGCCCTGAAGCTGGAGCACAAAATGCAACCCTGCCAAGTAACTCTTTCTTGCAAAAATTTCTTAATGATGTCAATTTATGGGAAGGAATTATTAATGCAGAAATTGAAAAATTCACTGGTGACAGTATTCTAACTGCGCAGGAAGAAATTAAACATGCTACTAAGCTGGTTAGTCAGCAGTTTCTGTCTATTATTTTCGTATAAGCGAAACTTCACCAAGCGCATCCATGGAAGCACCTTTGATCACCTGATTAAATCAATTTTTGCTTTTTCAAATTTTAGGTTGAGGCTTGGACAGATTTAACCATAAAACTATCTGGTCGCCATTCAACTTCCACCCAAAGTTGTATTATAGAAATGAAAAATATTAATCAAGTAAGAATTTGTTGATGCTGTTTCTTCTGCGGTATTGTTATGAAATGATCCGAAAACGAAATCTTTGCTAAGATATCGTTCATTACCATATGATTATTCTCATTCGATGCTGTTTGATATGGTAATTAATTGATATACGGTATAACTTTTAATTATCAATTTGGATTAATCGTTTTAGGAAATAGGAATATTTAATGCAAGATTCATAATCAGAGTGGCCGGTGAAAATGGTAAAAAATGCACTACTTACACATATATATTTCATATTTTCATTACTATATCGAATCAGAACTAGATGAAATGGTTAGTTATTTATCATATTAACTGGCTTCCCTTCTGATTGAAATACAGGTGTTGCTAAGGCCCTAATTGATATGGTTAATAACATGGAAACATGGGCAAATCGAATTTATGTTCATTTTAACACCGATCCATTAACAGAAACAGATTGGTTTAGGTATAAACTCTACTAACGTTATTGAAATTCTCTACGCTATACTTTTGATAAATGAATATCCAGCTACTTTATCAACTTAAAATTATCTGGATATCTTCAGTTACTAAAGGCATCATTTTAATTGACCGTATTTGTACTATAATTCTACAACATAATTGTGACTTAAGAAGCCTATTACTACTTTTCCAGGCTTTATAACTCCATCACTGATTGGGAGGATAAAATTAAGTATATTCACGAAATTATTGGAACTGTCAGAACTGAATTCGATAGTGAAGCAATGACACCAGAAAAGTAAGCTTTTACAGTCAAGACAGCATCTATCTATGAGTGATCAATACCAGTTTCAGAACTGGATTCTTATACAGTATATAGAAGAGCCATATTTAAACTTTCGCAATATTAGAACAAATCATTTTACTCTATTTTTCTTATCTCCATGCCACTAAAATCTTTATTTCCATTCGTGATACCGTACATGCTCATATATCAATTTGCGATATCGACAGCGGAAATGAGAAAGGATTACTGATCAATTTTAAATTATGATAAATACTTGCTCCTATTTAGATGCCAACAGGCAATACAAAATTTATTTTTAACCTTACAAAATTGGACAAACTCTATAACTCATGCCGTAGAAAATGATGATACGAAAATTATTAATCAAGTAAGCGCTGTTATTGCACATAGTAGAATCGCTTTAATTTACATTTTTAGGGAGGATTATAGCAGTCTTTCCATATAGATTCTAATTACGAATGATTTGACTTGATACAGTATACTGTATAAAGAATTTCTTAACTTCTAAACTACATTCCTCAATTTCGTTAGGTAACATCAGTTCATATGGATATGATTAGTTGGATGGTGCAGTTACTACTACAGGTAACACCAGATATGGACGATAGCCCTTATATGCAACATTTCCGTGAAAATGGCAAGAAATATAAGACTGCAGATGATGTTAAAGCAGCTGCAGTCAGTATTATCGAACGCTTGCGATCCTTCACTAAGGATATTATTAGGTAAATAGCTATAATAAGAACTAATAGTAATGGATAACTTTAGACCATTGCACTTATTTTTAGTCATTTATTAACATTATAATATAGTAATTTTATTATTTAATATTAGTTAAGTGTTTTAATACTGTGTTTATCTTGTCTTTACTCTAGTAATTCCAATGATATTGTTATGGAAACACGACAAGCAAAATTAGATTTACATGATGAAACAGCAGATGATGATTATAAAGACTTACAGAGAATGAAACGCGAATGTGACGAATGGATTGAAGCAGCTGGATTATTAGTTGGAGAGATGTTGCAAATACAAGGTGATTCCTTAAAGCGACTCTTTAGCGATAAGACAACATGGGCAGCTACACCTGAGGTAAATCTTAAGCCAGTTTACTCTTTATACTACTCCAGCTTAAATTAAAATATCCAATTCAATATTGGTATCAGCTATATATTCGGTGTAATGAAGCATTAGTATTTAGCTTATAGCTAATTAGAATACTTTATCTATTCAAAGGAACTTAAAATTAGGCCTATAGAAGCAGTCTCCTCTAATCAGCTTGCAACTAGTAAGGAAGGAACTGAAGAGCAAGAGGATAAAACTGCACAGACTGATCAACCACAATTGGAAAAGCAGGATGAAGGTTTGAAAGATTCAGCTTTATCTCAAGAAGAAGTTGATACTCCACCAGAAGAAGTTCAAGGTGAAAATATGGAACAAAATCAGGAAGAAAAACCCCCCAAAATACCTGAAAGCGCTGAAACGAATCGAGAAGAAGAAGAAAAGAGTCAAGAAGCAGTTAAAGAAGATGATACTGTAAATGAAGTGAATAACGACGTTACTGATAGCATAGATTCTACCAATAAAATCGATGAAAAACCTGTAGAAGAGACCCAAGATCAAATAGAAGAAGATGATACGGTAAAGGAGACAAAGCCACAAGGTGAAGAAATAGTAGTTGTTGCCGATGATGAAAATATCCGAACCAGAAATTTAACAGCCCTTGAACAATCGGTAATTCGACATTGATCTTACAGTGTAGCAGAATTTATATCTGTTTCCCTATTTCATGATCTAAGATCATCAATTTTTCCTATGTCCCATAGATTCGAAGAACTGGTACACCAGGACAACATTCAGGTTTGTATTGATTATATTAAGATAGACATTAATTCGTAATCATATATCCTCAAAACATATGATAAAGTACTGTATTAAGTGCTCTCTATAATTTAGTCTTAATTACTCTTCGCCATCTTAGACTTATGATATGCTGCAAATATGCAACGTGTCCTTCTTTACTATACTATCAAATTATTAATCAATCCCTTTATATTATAAACAGCTATCTCTCTACCAAGCTCTGATACTATTGAAGCAAGTAATAATCTCAAGGCATTACAGCCGCTAAACCAACATTTATTAGAAACAGAACTTCGTGCTCAAGAGGCTGAAGATCGAGCGATTAAGGCTGAATTTTCATTGAAGGAAGCACTAAATAAGATTATAACATTGGAAAGGCAATTACAAGAGCAAGAGCAAAAGCAAAAGCATGAACCTAAAAGTGACAGCAATAAAGTAGGGATGTCACATCGAAAAGTTGGAGCATCTAACACAAAGAGCCGCTCCAATCCACAAAAAGCTATTTAAATAGTGGGTGCAAAGTGATGCCGAGCTGAATGAAATTCTAAAACTAACTGCCCTAAGTACAATAATCAATCCATAGGACTACTGCGATGGCTAACCTTACCTATTGATTTTATTACTGAATCATGGATTTAATCGATCTTCTTGCAAGGGTTAATATTTTTCATGGTATTTTATCAATTTGAGGTTTCAAGTTGGAAGCCTGAGGTTTCTGAGTTATTGACGATTTGAAGAAGATCTATTGAATATTTTATAGTCATATATTTTATTTCGATATACTAAGTTATAAATACAGATGACGTTTGTACTAATCATAATTGACTATAGCATTTCAACTGGATAAATCGACTATCAATCATATACCATAGATCGTAATTACTACGAATCCTTGATCATTGCTTTTACAATCATTTTTAAATGCCCTGCAATGACAGTTTCAGATGATTTGCTTTAAACTACTGGTTACGCAGCGATGGCATCTATTGCAGCATATAATTAATTGAGTCCACTATGGTATCTTATTCTAGTTACTCATTAATTATAGCATGTCAATTAAGTAAATGTGTATATTTCATCTTATACGGTACTAATTCCTCATTTAAGCTACATCATGTATTATTGTATTCTAACAAATTCATGTTTACATCATTATTATCGGATATCAGATTCTATAAATTTATGTAATTAAGAAATAGATTGTGTAAATATCTGCTATTATCACTCTTTCTGTACAATGTACTTTATCATTGACTTACTGCAATTCTACTAAAATAGCGAAGTTATAGGTTAGCTTACTTGAATTTAGAAGCTATCTATTGACTGATAATGAATGATAAAATTCGATGGATAGCCTTATCATTGTTAACCATCAAATCGAAGGAAATCTTTGAAAGTTATATACAATAATTCTTGTGTATAAATATACCAAAGAGTAATTTCTAATAACTAGCTGGTGCACTTTTCTCTACATGTTGCTACTACTAATTAAGTCAGACAGTACCTAGATATTATATTAAAATTACTGGTTGAGTGCATTATCGTATCTCATGATTTTGTTATTCTTATAGTGAGTACGACCGTGACAATAATTATATTTTAAGGCATATATCAAGTAAGATGCAATCAATTACGCCTTGATGGATACCATCAGAGTTCAATTTAAGATTTAAAATGTATATATTGACTATTAGATATGTATCGACTGCAATGATTGCAAATAATTACCCATTTATTTTCAATTAGTGATTAAATTATGCAGGATTTCATACCATTGAATAAAATGACCATTTATTTTGCCCTTTATGATGCTATTAGTAATACTGCTAGTATAATTCTAGAAAATGATATAGCTAGCGAAAGCACTTTTAAAAATTTTTTGAGGATTTATTAATTTTTTACTCTATTTCTCAAGTTGACTTTAACTTCATTGTCAAATATTTCCTAATTCAAAGGATCAAATGTCAATCTGATACCTTAGCTACGAGATCATAAAACAAAGTAACCATATTAGGAATTGTTAATTAATCGATTAGCCAATTGCAAATAGTTCCTAATTAATTTTCAATTCAAAAGTAAGCTCCACAATTAGTAAGACCATTTGTTATTACTTTACCACTAGGTTGTTTGGATGTTCTGAAATGGCATTTAGAATTCCATAAAACTATATATAATGGAACAAGCCTGATGTTATAATAGAGAGGCAAAAAATTGGACTGATGATGATTTATTTCTATAACTAATCATGTTTGTATTGCTATTAAACTCCAGACTAACCTGCTGTGAATAGGAAAAGATAAACAAATAATGGTAAAATATAACCGGACTAGCAGTTATCAAACTGTTATAATGAAATGATGATTTACCGGTGAATTGAAATTTCGATAACGGGGAAGTGGAGGTATAAAAATAAAGTATTTGATCGATTAATTAACATTTTTTCAATATGGTTCTGTGCTACTTCATGAAAAGTATGTAGCTTATACAATCGATCGAAAGTACGGTATAGAGGTTAAAATAAATTGAAAGTAAGCGAAACAAGAGCGTACTGAAAGCTTGATAATTAGCTTAGCTTTTGTTATTTATTTCCACGAAGGACAAGATATGAGCAATGTATGATTTAATTGACTATAATCAAGTTATCAAATTAAGATAGATAATATCGCGTATTGTTGACAAAATCTACGTCAAAAGTATGGCGTAGTCTTCCAGTTGGACGAATCTTCAAACCATGGTATTAGCTTTCTTGACATCTTGAACCGAAAATGATTGGAATTTGTTTGTCCAGGTTATCAGCAATTGTTTTTGCTAAAAAATATTCAGGATCATTATAGCAAACACTTTTATATGACTTGACACAAGCTAGGAATGTCCGAATAATGTGGCAATATTGCCCTGGTGTGACGACTTTTTTGGAATCCGTTTGATATTCTTTAATACATAGTTTAACATTACATCTTCTTTTGGTAAGATAGGCTGTAGAAATTAAGTAAATTCATCAGCAATGAACTATTAGCTAAAAGTAAAATCTGTCTAGATAATATTCGGATATTGATAGGAAAGCATAAAGTTGTTAGGTTACAAAAAATTGTAGCAATTCTATTATGTCAAATTGTATTAACTTTGATGTTTTAGAACAAAAGTACAGATTATAGTACAAGAGTAATAAACATTATTTAATAAATGCCTTTTAAAGTCTCTGCCTTTTTCATTGTATCATACTCGTAGATACGATCAATTTACTCTTTCAATTTACTAATGTTGATCTCAAAATTATGGTCTAGACGCGCAAATTTTTACTTAAAGTATTTAATATTCTAAGATTCTAGAATATATTAGCAGGAGAAGATGAAAATCTTTCATTTACTTTACTTTCTCCAAATGAAATCGGAATTATTTGCAGTGTTAGCTAATAAGTGGAACATGAAAGGTATAACTTACCATCTGGGATACTTAGTTTGGTACACTTGCTAAATTTTTCTTTCATTGTAGGCAAATTGTAGCAATCCAAAGGCAATAGCTGATTATTGAAACCAGGATCGGCCTTCAGTGAATCAAATTGAGCCTTGCATAATCGATAATCACTCATTAAAGCTTGACATTCTTCTTTACATATCAACCGTTTGTAATTAACTCCTGCACATGGCGCGAAGTTATGATAGCAAATAGCTTTCAATGCATATTCTTCGCAATGACCACCAATAGCACGTATAAATGCGAAAGTTTCCGATAATTTTTGCTCCAAATCCTCCTGATTACCAAATGCTGATGTTTCTGTTTTATTGACACCATAAAAGGGTGCACAAACTGAGCCAGAATAAAGTTCACAACTCGAACGTATTAAGGAGTTTGAATAATCGTTCTTTTTATCATGCAGGGTAAATTTAGTAATGTCAAATCTAGGTAGATTTTGTAACATTAGCGTTAGCTGGAGAGTATTGTTTAATAGCGTACGTATAAGTACAAATAGAGATTCAAGTTGAATATAATCAGATAATCTTGCTTATTACCTTGCAAGTGGATCCGTAAATAGCTGAGCTAAAAATGAACGAAAGGCATGGTAAAGGAAGAAAAATTGTGGTGAATATGTTAGCTAGTTTAGCGGTAGTAGCAACTTTGCAGTTTTAAAAAAACTTATCGAATGTGCACTAATGTTAGTGTGAAACATTATAATTTCTCGTAACATATGTTTACTACACTAAATTGTATTGATTTCATGGTAATTCGTGAGCAATAAATCGAAATTATGTAATAAACAGTGAAACGGCAGAAGAAACTAAACATTACGATATTAGAGAGTTGATCTATCTCGAGTAGTGATTAGATTTATTCCCAGATTAGGATCTAGTAAGGTATTTCAAATTTTGCTTAACAATGGAAATAGTTTCAAAGTATTGTATTATGATTCATCAAACTTTTACATTTTCGTATTAAAAATAGCATTAAGCCATTGCCGCAAATCATCGCAGGAAAAAAATTAACCTATTATCAAGGTCTACGTTGTGCTTTAATTACAATATTCGCGTAATTTCGCTAATTTTACAGACATATAGAAAGATAATGGCATGAATCTGAGCTTATTGAGGATAGCTTGATGAGCGTAAAGATAAATTTTTACTGACGTTCGCAAGATCGCTTCCTGTAGTTGATTGTATCGATTGAGATTTTGGAAGATTTCGCCTTTCCTCGGAAGCTTTCAAATATGATCTGTATGGAAATGTAAGAAATAAAATATAGATTTCGGTAGACAGATGGCGATAAATGAATAACTCATTTATCGCTTATCGCTTAGTTAAAGTTATCTTAAATTGAGCTAACTCAATATTCAACGATAATTAATTATTAATGTCTTCAGAAAATTCATCATCAGCTTTCTTTTTACCTTATAATTGATATTAGATTCAATTTGAATTTGAGCAAACTTCCAGTGTTGGCCCTGATCGCCTTTTTTATCCCACAGTTTTACCAGTTTGCCACCGGATGGTCGTATGTAAACGCGAAGTCCTGACGATTCATCGGTTGACTCCATATGGTACCAAAATTGGAGACAGATTGGAAATTTTTGAGGTAGAACTTTGCTAACTAGTCTTGCCCTAGTACGATACTCCTTTGCATAAGTCGTATCTGTCCTGATATGGAAGTCTAAATAAAAAGAACGAAATATAATACCAGTATTAGCATTGCAAACGATAATTGTGGTATGTATCTGTGTTAATCGCAAGCTAATAAATTTTGCTGTACCTCTTTTACCAATTATGGGAAATCCTGAATTTTCCTTCGATGTTTGAGGTAGTTTAACACGCTTCCAGTTAAAGTCATTATTGGCACCATTTCTCCATCGACAATACGATGATTCAAAAGTGCATTTGATATTGTAAGAAACTAATGATTTATAAACATGGCATAAGATAAAATCAGTTCAAACTGCAGACGAAAAGATGCAATTCATATTCAAATCAAAACTGATGTAATTTGAAAATGGTATGGTATGGCTATCAATTTATTATGCTTTACATAGGTAAGAAAGAAGGCTATAAGTAATTTCCTAATAGCAAAGTTGTAAGAGTTGTATCAATTATTAAATTTCTACAGCTTTATAGGTGAAGAAAATTAAGTATTCTTCCTGTCAATTTAAATATTACCAGTAATTCCGATAGGTTAATTACCTACAAATAGCCTATATTTTACTAGATGACAATTAAAATGATCTATGGCATTTGGAAATCTTTGGCATTTGATTTTTAAGTTGATAAAGTATAATTAAGAAAGGTACTATAAGGTGTAAAAGATGGCGAAGATTCCTGCAGCTTAATTCGAACGCTTTAAATCGTATTTTACTCTAATACGATATTAATCAAGGTCAAAGATTGGATATGATCCGTGATTGAAATTTTAAAAGGAACAGACAGATGTAACGATATGGCGAGAATTTTATATTGGATTTATGCAGTATAGATACAATAGAAATATGAAACTTAAAAAAATTTTTTGGTATTTTGACACTGAGGCCGTTGAACGGCATACTGTAGGTTAAAATTCTGTTAGCAGACTTAAATCCAAAACAGTATAAGAAGAAACGGCATTTTGATGACAATTTGTAAATTAATTAAAATAGATAGAAAATTGTTGGTAGATCCAATTCAGCACAACTAAATAAATCTTTTAATTACGGTAAGCATTGCGATAACTCTTTTATTGTTGCAGCCTTATACGCCTTTGGCACTTTTAATAACACCAAGTAGATTCAAATTAACGTTGCTAGAAATACTTGCTACTAGTGAAATAGCGATTATTGTATCAAGATGTAGAATACTTGGATTATTAATATTGCAGCGGTTGTAAGGCTTGATTTCGAGTTAATTATATTAGCTCTTTTAGCCGTAGTGATTCAAATATATGGGTAAATTATCAAGTTTCAGGTGAGTTAATCTATTTCTAATGATATTCACAGGAGGCAATGTTAAGAAATACTTTTACCTAAATGCAGCTGGTTACTTCTATCATATAGTATAGAAGTGAATATGAAATGAATACTTTTCCTTAAGAGCTAAATGTAAAAACTCACTTAAGCTATAGCCAAGGCGTTTAGCTTTTTCTTTTCCGCCTAAATCTTGTAAGATGTCGGCAAATTTGGAATATTCTAGCAAGTTGTATTTGATATTAGCTAATCTACATGCGAATGTTGTACCTTAATATCGGCACTTGATCTTAAGTATGCAGATTCTAACCTTTACATTTGCTTACCTGATGAGCTAGGATTGTCATCTTTAGACAGAGTTATCGATTTCATTAGGAAAGATGATATAATCATACGGATAAAGAGCATGCAAATATTACATTGTTACAATGAGGATTAAATTTTTTATGTACAATATCTATAAAGATAGTAAGGAAAATTGATGTACCCTATGTAAATACCGAAATTTGTTGACTAGGTATTAGTTTTTGTCGAATTATAATTATAATTGGTTAAAGATATCTTTCATTAATACTTTAACTATAATCCACTACGATCTATCAATATTGCCCAAAACCTACAGTCTAATTCATTCAATTCATTAATTTCATCCAACAGATCTTCATCGACGTAGATGGGATTTTCCTCTACAAATAACGGTGTCGTTAGTAGTTGTTCATAGTCGCTATTTTTTTATAACATTTAAACTTTTACAACCGTATTTCTAAAAAAACGTATTTAGTTAGAGTTCTCACAGTATCACCTTAAAATATTTAGTTAACACTAATCCTATTATCCTCGCTATTTGTCAGTTGCCCTCAAGTTATGTTACTAAGATTCTGAAGGTTAGTGCAGTAGTATACAAGAAATATGAGCTATAATATATTGTAAATAGAGTTTTTGTGTCGCTGCATATAAATTAATGATAAAATCTTAAATTTGTCGCTTTCCGGTAATTTAAATCAGCTAGGATTAATACGGTCACCGTCTACCTATGATTAATAGGGTAATAATTATTGGCAAATTTCTTTATGATTCATGGTATAATAGTGGATATTAAATAGTGGTAAACTTATAATTAATTATTTACATATTAGATTAGGTATTCTATCGATATAGCCATGCTTACGAGTAAAAGATGATGCAATAATAAAAATATATTAGTCCTGTTAAAACTATTTTAATGTCGCTTTGATCAGATTTTACGTATAAAAATCGTGATCAATGAGCACAGTTGTGCCTTTAGCAGTGCATTAGTAATTTATTTTTACCGTAGATAGGTAAATGCCTATAATATAGATTGTACTAAAATTGGCTACATTCAAGGAAAGTAGTACAAAAATGTAAAGTGATTGTATTTTATTCGATGGTATTAGAATTTAAAATATAGTATGCCATAGACCGCTTTATTTAGTACGATAAAATTTAAATTTACCTGGAATAGCAACCGAGTTGCCGTTCATTAAGCCAATATTGTCTGGTGCTTGTTGTGCTTGTGCAACAGCCAACCAGGTAATAATAAAGATGAAAAGTAGCTTCATGTTGATTTTAATGACTTGGCTGCTCGATTTTCAGCAAGTCAATCACAGTTAAGTACTAGTATATTAGTAAGAATTCTAAAATTAATTAAATGTACAATAACTATATGAAAGATAAGAGTAATATATTAATTCAAGCAGACCTGAATGTGGATGTTTTATTGTACTTTAAACGAAGAGATTACTAGTAATCCTTCTAGTACAGACTGAAATAACGCTTCGAATACAGTTCATGAAATTAATGACGACTTATGTATAGTTTTTATAAGTTTTGACATTGTTATGCTTAACTTCTATGTCATGCTGATATCTTGTATATGATAAATAAATCATGACCATCATATTATTTATTCTAATGGGGAATAAAGTGGCCACAATTGAAATGACTATTGCATTCAACTAGAACTAATATAGCTTTAATAATTAATGTTCTTATTGTAAATTCTATATGTAAATAATTACAGCCTATCTACAACAATGTTGTGATGAATATTTGGATAAATTAATCTTTGTACTGTCCAAATTTAAACAGGTTTTGTCCGAGTTGATTAATTAGTCAGCACTGCTTACCAGGATGCCGCGTTGAAAAATTTTTTTAAAATCACCGGATTTACCTCTTAATTGGTTAAAGCAAACGTGATAACATACTTTACATTGCCCGAATTTTTCTCAAAATCCTGCATGTGCCGTATGCAAGAGAAAACCCTATTTAATGAGAAAAAATCTTCACATTTCGCTGCGGATAATTTCTTATGGTGATAAAAAATTGCATGAAAATGCCGATATGCTAATTGTAATATGTTTACGCGACATTCATTTCAAATGCAGCAGCGAATAAACGTATGTATTTCTTGAAGACTTGAATAATATTCATCGCCGTAGAAAGTCTCAGGATGGAAATCTCTACATCCTTGTTGATAAAATTTTGAATGGATAAAGGAAGAAATAGAGCCGATATTGTCATGTAATAGTTGGCTGTGGTGTGATATTTTGTAATTCTTCGGCTAATGTCATGTGATTTAAGGCATATCCTACCGAGCTATAAGCAATCATTGGCTGGTTAAAGTTTAGACAAGATTCCGACTGGATCGATTGGTCATAACAATGTGCTATTCTCAAATAAAGGTAACGATATACAAGGAACCAATGAGCTCAATCTTTATATACATACTGTAGCATAGGATGCGACTGGTATCACTGCAGTTAATAAACCTTTGAATCATAGGCATGGTATAATTGGGTTCTTTGTAATATATTGAGATTGGGGGTAATAATTTGCATACAGGCAATACGATTCGTGTAATATAATAAATTTGTAATACAAATAGTGAAATCTATACCAGAATAGATTAAACAAAAAGATGGAGTCAGCGTTATTACTAGTCTATTAATAACTAAATGCAAAGGATCGAATTGATTTAATTTAAGGCTAAATTAAGGTAAAATAACACACAAAATTCTAACTCATGTTGAAGTAATTTATTTTGATTATACATCGTTTTACGTAAGTCGACGTATATATCAATGCTAAATATTGTTATATCGATAGGAATCGCGGCCTTGTAAAGATAGTAGTTGTTATTCTAGTGATTATTCTAGTGTAAATATACATTAGTTGAATTCATCATTGTTACAGATCGTTGTTAGCAAATCAGATTTGGATTATTCCCAACCTTCGATTTGACTTTCTTGCTGCCAACAAATCCATGTCCTCATCGAAACATTGAGATAATTTCTTCACTTTGTGCTGGAGTCGCTCACATATCAAATAGTAATAACTGTAAAAATTTGTGTAAGGAATCATTTCTTCAATGATAGCGACAATCGTAACCGAAAATATCGACATGTTATTTAATATCGTCATCATAAAAGACTTTAATATATACGTATACTAAAATAAATACCGATGTTTTCGATGTTTTACGAGAGACAATTTCTCGATCGCTACTATATTAGATAATAGACAACCTAGAAATGAAACTTATTTTGAATATCTTGCACATGATCAAAGTGCTAATAACTGTTAGCTGTCCATTACTTATCGGATCTACATCCAGCTACGTGCTATTCTAAGCATAGACTGCATCAATGATAGTGAGAGAATTAGAAAGCATGTAGTATCTCATTATGAATTGTGATTTTGAAATTGGAAAGTTTACCATAACTATAGTGCTCTCCTCTAAGGTTTGTCATGTACCATAATATGATAAAAATAATGCGCTCGAAATCACAACGTCGCGTTAGGTAGACGTAATGGATAAGACTTTTTTAAATTTCTAGTCACATTAGTTGTGGTTACCACTTGATCATAGGTATACACTCTGCTAATATCTATATATTATGGAGCTTAAATATTGATCAAATTAATCTTAGCAATTAGTATAATCCATGATGGCTCTACCATCAGCTGCTAAACTCTCTTATTTCAAGGAATCCCTACAAATCGTATACTATGATTTACAATATTTCATGATGAAAGCACATTAAAAGCACCTATTAGGAGAGTTTCAAATAATTTTTACCATGCATTATACTATAAATTTCGAGTACAATAATTACATATGGTACGTAGACATGCTAGAAATTTTATACAGGAGTTTAAAAAGTTTGCGAACTTAGCACGACATCGATAGTTTATACAGTACTTTGAAAATATTGTGTTAAACTTTTTTCAAAAAATATTGTTTTTTTAATCACATAATACTCAAAATATGATTTTTATTACGCCATCGTAGAACCAGTTTAATAGTTGAATAATTAAAATTGTGTAAAAGGGTAAGATTAACTTTGCTTAAAGGTCAATTAATGATGTCATAAGATGTTTTAAAATTTTTACATTAGGATAGAGTAGATAGGGATGTGGATGTAAATGCATTTATGTAGGTTTGAAAGTGTGAGATATACAAATTAATTATTGCAGCACACCCAATATAGCAGACAGGTGGTTATGCGTAAGAAATTGTAAACTTTGCATAGAACGGTGTAGAACTAATTTATAATCAGCGATAAACTGTCAAAGTGCATTTAAGCTATTAGCTTGATGTGATTTATTTACTAAGTGGTATCTTGCTGGTTTTAAGCTGATTGTTAGAAATTACAATTTCATCATACCACGATTCGCAACCTAACATTGCCTTTACTATAGGCAAACGTATCATTGCACCTCGCTAGGCCGTCAAGCTGCCGCATAACGTATGCAATCCGTCGTACATGTATTTCGAGCAACGCAAACACGGATAGCCGATTACCTAGAAATGATTACAGGAATACATTTGGTCATGGCTGTTTAATCTTTGCAGAAAGAATCTAACTATACGAGTATTCACTGTAGATCATACTACCTTTCAGCTATAGCACTTGAGCCATTACTCTTCGGAGCAACTATTTGCATATTTTTGATTTTATAGCCATAATGATTAAATGATATTTCAATGTTAATAACCCATAGATAAATTATACTACCGTATCTCATACTATCTATCAACTGTCGTATCTGAGCTATTATTCTTCGGTGTAACTCGTATTTGCATATTTATGATTCCATAGCCATAATGGTAAAATGATATTACAATGTCGATAACGCATGGGTAAATGGCACTACTGTGCTCCATACTACCTACCAGCCGTCGCACACTAGCTATTATTATTCGATTCAACTCGTGTTTGCGTCTTTTCTCGTATGATCCCATAGCTGTAATGATAGAATGATATTGCAGTGTTGATGAATCTTCGGTAAATTATAGGGGAATTTTCAATTATCAATGATTCTGAAAATTTCCCTAAATTATACTACTCTATTCTAGGAGTTTAATCGTTTGCATGAGGCTATATCAGTAGAAGTATATACTATAACAGTGCGTAACTACCGTGATATACCGTTATATTCGTGCATATGCATGCGTAAGAATGGATCCAGTAAAGGAATTTATAAAGGAAGCTATATTGTATACTGAATCTACTATTGATGCGCTTATTTCATTGACCAATTTATAAAGTGTAATAACGTTATCCAATGGCGATAGAGCATTTCGACCCATATGTATCGCGATTAGTTATAACCTGATGCATGCGTACACTCATCATAATAAATGAACAAACTGTAAAATGAGTAGCGACTAGCTCTGGTCAGAACCTATTTTAATCGAAGAAACTGGCTGCAGTTTCTCATACCCTGATATTAACCATCCACTCAAGAAAGCTCAAAATTATTTTCTCCTTTGGAACTATTAAAATTATACACATCAGTATATCATGTTCTTAATGGATGAATACTTTTATACTTATTAAAGAATTGATTTCGTTTCAACAGGTTTTCATTATATCTTATCCCTTGAGGAATACCTACAGTATATCGAAGAATTGATTTCGTACGACGTCATTATATATCTTTTGAGAAATACTGCTACCCCTATCAAAGAATTAATTCCATTTGAATGCGTCAATAGGAGACGTACCCATATATCATATTAAAGGCTGATTTTGTTTCAACGTGTCCATCTGATGTATTTTTCGATGAAGACTTTTACCTATGTCAAAGAGCTGAGTTTGTTGTTTCGTGATTCTTAGTTTTAGTTTTAATGATAGATATAAGTGATCTCCTTGATTGCAGAGTCTTTATTTTTATAATTAATTAACACAGTAGTACCATGGAAATTGATTGCACTATGCAGTATTCAATAGAGTTAACAGTAAATGCAGTAACTCCAATAGAATATTATTTTATTTCCTGATTGTTAGTTTTAGTTTTAAAGATAGATATAACTCATATAAGTAATCTTCTCGATTGCAGAGTCCATATTTTTAGTGAATAAAGCAGTACCTTGGAAATTGATTGCGCCATGCAATCATACGCTCGTATATACTACTAGTGGTACAGTCAATACTCCAAACATAGGGAGAGGCAGTCGAAATGTATTTGAAACATGATGGAGCGATGACGTCATATCTAGTTTTAAAGATAGATATAATTCAAATAACTAATCTTCTCGATTGCAGAGTACACAGTAGTACCATGGAAATTGATTGCACCATGCAGCATTCAATAGAGTTAACAGTAAATGCAGTAACTCCAATAGAATATTATTTCCTGATTCTTAGTTTTAGTTTTAAAGATAGACATAAGTGATCTTCTCGATTGCAGAGTCTGTATCCTTACTAATGAAGTAATACCATGGAAATTGATTGCACCATACAGTATTCAATAGAGTTAACGGTAAATGCAGTAACTCCAATAGAATATTATTTCCTGATTCTTAGTTTTAGTTTTAAAGATAGACATAAGTAATCTTCTCGATTGCAGAGTCTGTATCTTTATTAATGAAGTAGTACCATGGAAATTGATTGCGCCATGCAATCATAAGCTCGTATATAGAGCTAGTGGCACAGTCAATACTCCATACATAGGGAGAGGCAGTCGAAATGTATTTCGATGGGGCGATGACGTCATATCTGCCGGTCAAGTGCTGATCGAGTTTTTCTTTCTTTTGATCTCAGTTGTTGTCAGTGTACTGTACCGGCGTCCAGTCCTGTCCAACACCAGTGTAACAGTTCAATACTGAGTAGTGAGTATCCGTGTTATGGAGTGCCACTCCATAGCATAGTACTGTAGAGTGGAGCTGTCTGGAAAATCGTCATGTGAGCTGCGTACGGCCTTACGTAT